TACTAAATGACCTGCTTTTATTTATTTATTTCACTCCTCAAGACTATATACAGATCAATCTCCAATATTGCTATCAATAAATTTGCTTTGAGGTTATTTTAATTTTACTGTTTTTCAAATTAATTATTTATATGATCAGTAAATTACATAAAAATATCCATTACATTATTGTTTCTGTTACTAAAAATATTGTCACACCCTAGTGCTGAATGTACAGTTCCTACAGCAGCATGCATCTGTGAAAACCTTGAACAAGCACTAAAATAGAAAAGTAAAAAATGAATAAACAAATGAACATTAAACACACCTGGAGAGTGCAGACCCCTGCTGATGCTCATCTGACTGTATCTGATCACAACAGATCCACACACACACACACACACACACACACACACACACACAGTCAACATATCACAGATTTGCATATTTACAACATGAACACACCTACTGCAGTACACCCGAAACACTGTTAACACACATAATCAGATCACTAAGAAAATTAACCACAGTTACTAATGTAAAGCTGTGGCTATCAGGGTTTTGTGGCAACAAAATCTACAGTAATTAGTTACTATAATAATTAGTTACAGTAATTATTACTATACTTGTGTTACCATAGCAACTGAAAATTACAACATTAAAGTGATTAACTATAGCTGTGTTGCCATAGCAACTACAGAATACCACATTAAATCAAATGATTAACTATAGCTGTTACCATAGCAACTGTAGAATTGCTACAACATAAATACATGTACTTCACTATAGCTCTGTTGCCATAGCAACTATAAAATTACTACATTAATTCATGCACTATAGTTTTGTTACCATAGCAACTTTAAAATTGCTCCATTATTTTTCAGTGATAAGAGCATCACAGTGGCGGAGTGGTTAGCACTGTGGCCTCACAGCAAGAAGATCTCTGGTTCAAGTCTTGGCTGGGTCAGTTGGTGTTTCTGTGTGGAGTTTGCATGTTCTCCCTGTGTTCGCGTGGGTTTCCTCCGGGTGCTCCGGATTCCCTCACAGTCCAAACACATGCACTATTGGGGAACTGATTAAATCAAATGGACGTAGTGCATGTTTGGGTGTTTCCCAGTGTTGGGTTGCAGCTGGAAGGGCATCCGCTGTGTAAGAAACATGTGCTGGATAAGTTGGCAGTTCATTCCGCTGTGGCAACCCCTGATTTACAAAGAGACTAACCAAAATAAATAAATAAATTCTGGAGATTAACTAGTTGTGTCACCATAACTTTAAAATTACTACAACATTAATTCAAGCACTTACTATAGTACGTAAAAACATCAGTCAAAAACATTGTTTAAAATGACCTGCTGTAGTATTATATACTATATATTACATGATGTACTATAGGAAATAGTTCTTAAAACAGATCACATCTTTCCCTTAGGATTTTTCTTTCCTAAACTCTTAAGGAAAACAGCATGCAAACTGAATTACGGTCTATTTGAACCGATCCTTTAGTTAAATTATGAGGAAATAATTGAAGGTTTTCACTTTTTTCCTATTTTAATGTATGATTGTGATGCTTACCAACCCTCTTCAGCTCAGATCATCTTCCGACAGTAATATTATGGAGATGCGAGTTGCAGTGAACAGACACTTAATCAAATCATCCTTCAAAAATCCATCAAGAAAAGTTTTCTAGACACTATCCCACAGTATAGTAGCACAGTATCCCGTCGTTTTGAAGTCTTTTTTTAAACGAGTCTCGTTAAAAACGTATGTAAGATGTATTATTTCTGAAGACAAGACAGTATTTTTCACTCGTCTGAATGCTTCATGATTTAGGAACTTTCTCATATTCGGACTAGACACAAGAGTAAATCTCTACACAAGAGCATTTATTAGTGTGTTTCTGACCTGTTCTCCGTTCTGCTCCTCTTTAGGCGAGTGTTTGGGTTTCTTCTTCTCTCTAAAGGATTAAAAACACTTAATAAAGTACAATACATCTCTTTATCTCGTCTGAAGAAACTCTTTCTGACCTTTTCTCCAGTTTTTTGCTGCTCTTCTCTCGTCCTTCCTTTTCCAGTTTCATCGTGTCGCTGTAAACACTAGTAACTCAACTCAATAAACACGCAAACTGAAGTTCAGACTGAATTAATCTCGAGGGTTTGAGAGTGAAATAAACTGTTCTGAATCCTGAAGCTCAGGGAATCCGAATGCTGGACACCTGCAACACCTGAAAGAGTTTAAGTTGCTCTTCTAATCAAGTGCGCAAAATCAGCCCGCGCGCCACCTGCCGGCTGAAGAGAGCATTACAGCGCATTAGAGAGCAGAAGAACAGCAGCACAGTAAGCAGGAAAACACACATCTGATTATGGACTGCACATAAAATGTATGATATTTTCCTGTGCTGGATTCCATTTGAGGACTTTAAAATAATAGTAATGAAAATACTCCAAGTCATGTGAAGCAGAAACCAGGCTGTCTTCTATAAATCCATGAATAAAAAAGGGCTTAATGTGATGATCTGCTGCCAGTTGCATTAACTGTATATATATTTATATATCAATATTTTAACAGTTATTCTGGTGGAAAATATGTTACTAGACATTTCACCAACATTTAAGTGACACGTTGGGTTAAACAATAATGTACAAAAGCTGTATTTCTTTTGTAATTATTTAGTTTTTTTCTTCTTTATTAATGTGTTTACCTGGTTTTGGGTGTACATAAATGTTTTGACTGGAACTGCTCGATATAAAAAATACCAATAAAACTACTGCAAAACATTGCAATTTTGCCTTAGGACAATTTTGAAAAACATGTTTGATCCACTTCAAATATTGACTACTGTATACACACACACACACACACACGCACACACACACACACACACACAAAAATATCTAACCATTTATATTAAAACAAATTACACCAAATAACTTGAAAAACCATCTGCAACAGCTTCATTGTTTTAAAGTGATTGCGGTGATTTTGTGGAACAGTATGTCTGCATAAAATATCAATTATAAACACAACAGAAAAAGGCAAACCAAATAAACAGCTTTTTTTGGAGGAGCCTGAACTTATTGACTCAAAAATGGATTCAAATACCATAAAAATCTACTGACAAATTAATTCAAATCCCTTAATGATTAAAAAAGCACATTCTTCAGTCATAATAGTCAATCTGTTTAAGCTACAAACATTATTTCTCTTCTCCGAATACTTCAACTAGATATGCTTAGACCGTAACGGGCCCTAAAAAGTGCAAACGATTAACATTACAATTAAATGTTGAAAACTAAACCACAGATCCCACACTCCATACTCTAAACCTGAAGATTATTGACAACACAGAAGTGCAAATGATGAGATATATGACATGATATAATGTGCAGATTTAGCTTTGGCTGTTCATTTACAGTTAAAGTCAAAATTATTCACCCTCATGTGAAATGGTTTTGTTTTTTCAGGATTTTTCAGAAGAGCTGTTTGAGATTTGTTTACACATTATTAAACATAAATGCTTTCATAAAAATGTCTTATTTAATTTTATTATTATTCAAGATACTATTCAGCTTGAAGTGTGAAACGGTTAACTAGGCAAGTCATTGCACAACAGTGGGCTGTTTTTAATAATTCCTTAAGGAGGCTATTAATAATATCTACCAGAAGAAAAATATAATTTATAATACATTTAAATGCCCCTGCTCTGTTAAACAACATTAACTTGTGGGAAATATTTGAAGAATGAAAATTCCACTAACAATTCTGTATTGCATTGTGTCATTGATGTTCACACAGCGCTGAGTAAATGCGCGTGTGTGTGTGTATTTGAGTGTTTAATTTACACAGTAAAACATCTGCTGGTTCACTGCAGGAGAAGAAGAGGAGCTGCAGAAAACAACATCACAAACAACTGATGATGCACCAGTCTTTTATTACAGCAAACATATGCGGAAGAGTGTGTAAAAGATAATAATAAATTCACCACACCTTTCCTCAAGAACCGGATGGAATGATTAACCGCAGGTTGTTCACATCCAAGACGTGTCTGTTTGAACACTGTACAGCAGCAGAACTGATTCATCGTCCATCAGCTGCCATAAATACTCAAAAACAAACAAACAAAACCATTAGTGCGGGGCAAAGATTAAACACATCCTAAATAAATGTTTGTTTTGACATCATATGTGTGTGTATTATTTATTTATATATATACATGATAAACATATAAATGGAAACAAAATGTTACAGATAATAAAATGTACAATTCATATCAAGACATTTCATATCTAAATATAAATAGACATTGTATTAAATATATGCAAGCTTGTGTGCATTTGCATATACACATATACACAGCACACACACAGTTAAATGAGGTCAAACCAAACTTTTATTTTGGATTTGATTAATCACGATTATTTTTGGCCAGCACTAAAATAAACATTCAGTATGAACTGTACAACAAGAGAAAAAGAAAACAGTAGAGCTGGGCAAAGACTGATCACATTCAAAATAAAAGTTTGGTTTGACACAAGATGTGCTTGTGTAGTATATATATCTAATACACACATATACAAAAAAACCTATACAACTTTGTTTTGCATATATATTTAAATATAAATAATCCTTTGAAATGTATAAGCATGCTTGCATTTAAATATACATAATAATGAAAAGTACACACACATTTTATCAAAACAAACTTTTATTTTGGAGGCAATTAATTTTTTCCCAGCACTAATAATTAAAAAAATGGTATGAACTGTACAACGAGAGAAGAAATGCTTGCACCATTTACAAATATATATAAAAATAGTGCTGGGGCGATTAATCCAAAATAAAAGATCAGTTTGACATAACTTGTGTGTGTGTGTGTACTAATATGTATATTTGTATATGTTTTTTATCATTACGTATCTGTAATTTACACACATACAGAAACTACACAAATCTTTTTTTTGCATAGATATTTAAATGTATATCATATACATATATTTTACATCTAAATATACACAACACACATGTACTATATCAAAACAAACTTTTATTTTAGATATACAATTAATGTTTCCCCAGCACTAAAAAACAAAACAAAAATCGGTATGAACTGTACAACGAGAGAGAAAAACCTCCAAAACATCATTTACAGATCTATAAAAAGTAACGAGTGTAAATAGAGTCTAAAACGCAGACGTGTGTGTGTGTGTGTGTGTGTGTGTGTGTGTTATGAGCAGGCGATGGACTCCAGCTGTTGTTCTGCCTCTGCAGCCATGGCTGCGGCCTGGAGCTGCTCGGTCTCGCTCTGCAGGCCGCTGCCGCTCAGCTTGCGCTCGCTGTGCATGTTGTTCTCGTGTCTCTTCAGGTCGGACGCTTTGGCGAAGGCTTTGGTGCAGGAGTTGCAGACGAAGGGCTTCTCCCCGCGGTGCCGGCGCTCGTGGTCCTTCAGGTGAGACTTGTGTTTGAAGGCCTTCTCGCACATCTGGCAGGCGAAGGGCCGCTCATTGCTGTGCACCCGCTCGTGTTTCTTCAGGTCAGGCGCGCGGATGAAGGACTTCCCGCAGGCCTCGCAGCGGTACGGCTTGAAGCCCGTGTGGATCTTCAGGTGCTCCTTCAGGTGGGCTTGTGTGGTGAAGGCTTTGCTGCAGATCTCGCAGATGAAGGGCCGGTCTGCAGAGTGCAGCTTCTCGTGTTTCCTCAGACGGTTCTCATCGATGAAGGTTTTCCCGCACACCTGTGGACATGCACAGAGCGATTACGCGATTGTTTAATATGTAGTGGATGTAGAGCCGTGTAATCTGATGAGAAGGACAGATGTATACATGTATACACACACACACTTTCCTGTTTGCTCAAACTACTTATTTGAAGCAATCTGAAACAACACAATTCTTGAGTTTTTTTGAGGACAACTTAATTTTTTATGTTCAATCCACCTGTTGGGCGTGACCCATGACACATTTAACGCGTGTAGCTGTGCATTTATACTTCTGCGCGCTGTTACTGTTGCTCTGCAATAACACTTCCGAAACACTAGTTGGCACTAGGTGTTTATGTTCCTGTGTGTCAAGTTTTTCGCTGGTGTAAATGTACAAGTGGTTCAAACTCGCTCATTGAGGCAGGAACTGGCGGACATCCAACAACGTTAACCATAAACTTTTCATTTAAAGCTGCTTTGCAGGACTCGACACTCGATACACGCTCCAACAAACTCACACGTCTCTCGGTCCTGCCCACACTCGCCAGCGCCACCAAGCCGACCAATTACAGAGCTTGTGCTACGCGTTGTTGCGACGTGTGGTTAAATTTTTTTTGAGAGGTGCACGTCAGCAATGCCGACGGCCACAGCGAGGCCTATGCATCCAATCGAAGGCTGCGCTGTATCATACACGTGCGCTTGACAGAAGTATACATCAGCCTTTACTACGTGTGCGTGTGTATATATATATATATATATACACACACACACACACACACACACACACACAAACATACAAATGACTTTAACATTATTTGTGTAATTGTGATCATATTAGGAACACCAAAATTACGTCCAAGTATTGAGCGAGAAGACTATACATTGATTGAGACAGGCCTAGCTTCAGAAATGGGCTATAAACATGGCAAAGTGTTTTTCAGCCAACAATAAACTTCTAGTGAACAATTAATGTGACTATTTTCAATTTGATCAGTTTCCTTTTACAGCGTTGATGAATGTAATTAAATTAATTATTTAATTATATAATCAGTTAATTAGAAAGCAGTTCTTTAGTTGCTGAAGCATGAAATAAGACAAAAGACCATTTAAACAAGCACCGTCTGAAGCTGCAGGCTAGCGCACAAACTCCACAATACAATTTCATATCCTAAAGAAGAATATATATATATAAATATAAATATATATATATTAGAGCTGCACAATTAATCGAAAAAAGATCCCCATCTCGATTTGACCCCCTAGACGATCTTAATCCAGCATTTCTACGATTCTGACAATCATATTTTCGAGTTCAGGAGAGAAGACAAGGCGGCCGCAAGTCTTCACTCTGTTTTACATCCGTTGTTCAGCAACGTGGACACCAATGGTGTTAAAAGAGTCACATACTGTATTTATAAGGTATAATTCACCCAAAAATGCCATTTCTGTCTTCATGTAATGATGTATTCGCCGCCGCAATATAACACGTGACGTGAGCTGCTGACCATGAGCTGTTACCACAGAGGGCGGGCCCGCGCCTATGAATGAAGTCTACTTTAGTGAACAGAACCTGCATAGGCTGTGAATAACAGCCAATAAAGTTGTAAATAATGTTCAGTTTGTGGAACAGAGTGATTGTTTGAGAGCCGTGCGGGAAGTATGAATCGCACTTAGCAGTGAAAATGAAACCGAAAGCGTGCACAACATTTAAATAATCACTGCATTTCAGAGTTACGATTAGGCCACGACAAGCATTTGATATGCTTTTTTCTTTCTAAGCGAACACAAAGTGTTGTGCATGAGAATAAACAGAAGACCTATATATTAATATTAATATAGTTTTTAGCATATGTTTGAAAAATAACAATAATAATAGCCCACTCTTATAAACCTTCATTTTACATCTACAGAATCGTGAGAAAATCGTGATCTTAATTTTAAGCAATAAAAAAAAAAACGCGATTCTCATTTAAGCCAGAATCGTGCAGCTCTAATATATATATATATATATATATATATATATATATATATATATATATATATATATTCTCGCCTGGTCCGACACCCACTTTATATCAAATATGTCAATCATGCAATGAAGAGTGTTGACTGAAAGAAGCGCTCTGATTGGTTATTAAGCAGCAAATCAGAGAGCATGATGTGACATAGCAATTAAACAACTAAATTCAACAAGGAACACAAAAAAGAGGCCTGCTGTAATTTCACTACACTTCTCAAATATTTGCAAATGATTTGATAATAAGATTATCACACATGTTTGCAGGTGACGATTACTGATATACTGGTGCTGTGCGCTGCTTTCTTTACACTTTGCATGTGTGCATCAGAAATAAATAGGTAAGGGAAGATGACCCGTTTCAAGGTTTATCGCGGCCTGGATAAGTCAAGTTTTTAAAACCTCTCAAATTCTGTTCTGTCATTCCCATGGCATAAGTCAACTCTGTTTATTTATTTTTACATGTTTTAATGACTATTTTATTTAGTTTATAGGGCTACAGTATCTCCAGCAAAATAAAAAAAGAGACCCTTTACATCGAAAGCTGCTGGTCAGCCCACGATTCAGCAAACATCTGAAAAACAAATCCCTGATACACCAACATCCAGCCTGCTGTAGAGCTGAACAGTGCACTGGCTTTACTTTATATCCACAGAAAATAAGGATAAACACAGTTAGGTTTCATCAGTGCTAGTGGTTTAGCTCCAGCTAGGTGTGTACCGGCACTTAAATGCTGATCTTATAATGGCATGACAGTTCACCAAAAGCACTTCAGCGGGCTTACTGAAAATGACACGTCCTCATACATATACTTCATTAATAACAACAAAACACTGTGATGAAGCCTACAGACCTGGCAGGCCAGCTGATCGCGGTGGCCGTACAGCAGATACTCAAACTTCATGTCAGCGGTGGCGGTGCTCCACCCGGGCGGCTGCGTGTCTTTCACATCGCCCATGCTGTCCGCAAAGGAGAGTGTTTGTGTGTGCGCCGCCAGCTCTTTGGGCTCTCCATCCAGGGCCTCCACCTCCTGGTCGTAGCACCCCACTTTAGGCACGTCCTCCTGCGCCAGCTCCTTCAGGATGGCCTCCTGCACCTGCAGGGCATTATTAGGCGATTTATCCAGCTCGTGATTGCCCTGCGCCTCCTCCACGATATCATCCGACGGCGTGTCGTCCTGATCTCCGAGCACCTGCACGTCTCCGTCTTGATTCAGCGGAGGATCCTCCATGGGAAGCCCCATTTTAACCATATCATACGGGAACTTTGCGTTCCTGGGGTCACCGTTTTTCTCGTCGGGCGACATGTCCCGTTTTTGCGAGCAGAGTTTATCTAGAAAGCGAATGCCGAGTATCTGTCCTGATGACATCATCAGATTCACATCCTTCTTCTTGACGGAGATCTTAGCAGTGTACATGTAGTTCAGCACCTCCTCGAAGATGTCCGAGCGGATGAAGTCGATCTCGATGACCGATGAGCTGTCCACCTCGTGTTTCTTGAACAGTTTCTTGAAGTAGTTGCTGCAGGCCGCTAACACACAGCGATGCGCCCTGAACTTCACATCCTCCACCACCACAGCGATGTCGCAGTGCTCTCCCTCCAGACGCTGCTCGTTCAGTAGCTTCAGAAAGATGGTCCTGTGCTCATCGTCCACATACTTCACAGTTTCGGACATACTGGAGCGAAATCCTGCAGACAGACAAGAGGTTATAAAAAAAACACAGTTAAAGTACATTAACAAACAGTGAATCGCCAATCCATTTTCTTTTTTATTAGTCAATCTGTTTCTTGCAAAAAAGCTTTTCCTTTTCTGAAATATACAGTGTCTATTATGCATCTGGATTAGGGCTGCACAATATGTCGTTTCACCACTGATATCGCAATAGACACATCTCAGGTTACGCAATATTGAGTTGTGATTATAGTGGACCATGAACCACACATAAGAGCATACATGCTTTAGTGGTTATCGTTACACTGACTAGTTCAAATAAATCGTGCTAATAAAAGGTACATGTTTAAAGATATATATATATATATATATATATATATATATATATATATTTTTTTTTTTTTTTTTTCTCCCTATGGAAATTCCATCTCTTATAACAGATTAAAGTGACAATGATCATGCTTGAATATAAAAAATAAATCAAGCATTTGGTGCTGTGATAAATGATTAACCACTGACTATATAACAATCAGAATATTCTTTAAAAGGCACTCTAAATGTTAAAAGATAGTAATCATTCACGGCATAACGAAGTACTTACGAATTTAATATTGTGCATGATCATGGTCACTGAATGACATCTGTGCATTTCTGAAGCTAGCTCGATGCTTTGTTTACATTCATCAAGCACGAGTTTCACGTCACGAATGTCAATGCTGTCTAATAAAAGCACACTGACGGTAATGATCAGTCATAAACAGCACATGTGTGGTCATTAATGGTGTTTAGTTGGCTCAGTGATGTACCTTACTGGACTCCTCATGTTTGCTCTGAATGGACTCTCCTCACGGGCCACACACGGGGAAAAACTACTTCATTCAATTACTGCCGAACACACGAGGCGTGTTTTTATGTGATATCGAACGGATTTACTCTATAAACACCGTGTTCCGTGAACAGACTGAAGTTTAAACGGGTATTTTGTTGTTTTCTACGCGAGTCTGCTTTGCCTCAGCTGAAGCTAATATTAGCATTAGCACATAAACCGTCGAAGAATCAACAACACCCGTGGAAAAAGCGCGAATACTCCGCGGTGTTTCCCTCCAAACGAGCACGGAGCGTCGGAGAGCACCGGTCAGCACCGGAGAGCGGCGGGATGTACTCGATAAACGGGCACCCGGTGAGGATCGCGGCGCGCTGAGGCGGGTTTAGTGTCGCGAGCTGCGCGGGCCATGAAGAACACTCCCGCGGCGGGCGCGCGCAGCCATCCCGCGCAAAACATTATGCAATAATTCAGCAGCTGCTTCACTGCGCTCCTGAATTCCAGTTCTTACCTTTATTGTGCTATTGTGCTCCACTGGGAAAGTGTGTGTTGAATGTCACGCAAGCCAGTGTAGAATTTAATACTTTGTTGTTGTGTGAGGCCGAGGACGAGCACAGGAAGGACGCGCTGCGCCAGCACGGAACTGCGGAGAGAGTGGCCGAGGCGCGTGCGTACAGGCGGGCACAGCTACGCAAACAGCGTATGCTAACAAACTCACTGACAGGGCCAGATGCGCAGGCACGCGTACGCAAACAGCGTAGCGCTCTGGAGCGCGAACCGCACTGTGACGCGCGGGAAGAGCGTGTGCACATCCGTTCACGGTACACGTTCACAAGAGTATAAATGAGAAAAACAGCAGACAATTAGATTACTTTACACTGTAATAAGTAAACAACAACAAACAAACGCAGTTTTTTTTGTGTAAACATATTGAAATAATAAATTAAATGTATATTTAAAATAATAATAAGTGTACAGTGTTCAGCAGAAATGACCCCTCACAGATCTCTGTTTACATTCATATTTTTGCACAGGACTCTTTACAATAAGATATTTGTACGTATATATTAGATTATACTGTACCTAAGATACAACTGATAAACCAAAAACACTGAAGATCACGCTGCAAAAATGAAAATGTTGCGGGTAAATGTAAAATACATTTAATAAACAGGAAAATTCAAAAGAAACAATTATTTGCAATAATTCATTTGAATTTAAATGTATTTTTCTTTTCCTGAAGATGTTCGATCAACAAACACTTATAAAGAATATAGATATTTAAAAGGTCACGAAACACTGGAACACGTGTGTTTAGATGTTGACATATATGTGTCCCACACTGCTATAAACACTATTAGTGAAAGATATGTGTCCTAATAAAGTGAACATTGCTTGTTTTTGCGTTATTTCGAGCAAATTCATTCTCCAGTTTGAAACGACTTTTTGAAGCTGCGTCACGCAGATTAGTAGCTTGTGCATATTCCAGCATGGAGACAGGATGTCTGTACCTGCGAGTACTTTGTGACGTATCTGAGTGTGCAGCATCAACTCATGAGTAAGACTTTGTTCAAGCCAATCAGCGCACTCTATTTTGTAGCTTCATTAATATGCATAATCGCTTCCGAGACTGTTTTACCTGTTACAGTGCTCAGACGGCAGAGAGACGCCACGTTGTGTTGCCAAAACAAGAGGGAGAAGAAGAATTTGGAGACACGGGTCATCAGTGTTGTGTTTATAAATGTGCTGTAATGAAGGTTTTGTTTTCATTTCCCGCTATGAAAGCGCAGCTGAACTCACGTGTGGATTACAGACGTTACCTACCGAGTGCATCTAAGTTATAAAGAAATGCGGAGAGGTTTTTATCTCCCATTCGCCGTGCATTATCAAACACTCCATTAAAACTGCACTCGTCCAGCAGCTCCTCATATGCAATATCTCGTTTGTCAGGGGGGCATGCAGAAAATGTTCCTGAATGAAAGTGCCAAACTGCAGTTAAAGTCCACCATTTAATAATTTGGCAAATCAGCGCATACCCGAACGGAAACTCCAATTTTTATGCAAAATCTTCCCTCTTTCCCTCCCCCGACACTCCCACCTAAGCAGAGCTGGACACGCCCACTTTCCTGACCTTTTCCAAACTAGAGGTGTGAAAGAAACCTGCTGAAATGGGGATTTTGTGGCCCTTTAATGGGTTTAATAGAAACCTTTAAAATTAAAATTTAAAAATGCACCAAATTAGCTCCGGTTTCCCCTACAGTCCAAAGACATGTGGTACAGGTGAATCAGGTAGGCTAAATTGTCCATAGTGTATGTATGTGTGCAAACAAATGCTGGATAAGTTAGTGGTTCATTCCGCTGTGGCGGCCCTAGATTAATAAAGGGACTAAGCCAAAAATGAATAAATGAATGCACCAAAGTATGTTGACTATATTCACTGCACCTGTCTAAAAACATCATATGACTCAGATGCAGTTGGATGCAATATAAACTGGAGAGTGCATTATGTTGGCTGACCGCTTAATATTATAAAAATGTAAAGTAACGGCATACTGAACGCACACTCACTCCAGGACAGATGAACGCAAACGGCAAAATTACCAGAAATGGAATTGAGCTTTTATTTGAGCTTGTGTGGGAAACAGTCAGCAGGGCGGCGACGCTGCACATGAGGGTCAAACATGGACACAAACACACACATGTGGGTCGGTCTGGAGGGTTCTGTACAGTTTAAGGCTCAGATGTGGCTCTCTGGCCGAGGATTGATCTCTCAGGATAGCAAAACTGCTCGATTCCTCTAAAATCAACATTCACAGGTGACAAAAACAAACAGAACAGGTGCAGAATTCAAGTAAAAACAACAGAACACGAGTCTAAGATACATGGAGAAAATGTGTGGCATATTCATATTCTCTCTTTAATATTAATCCACATGAGCAAATCAGAGGTGAGAGGATGAAGGAGACACGTGGGGATGGCACATCTTTGCGAGGTTAAATATTGTGCAAAGTTTGTCCTTTGTTTTTTAAGTGAGCAGTATAATAAATAAACGTAGATATCTGTAACCGCTATATTTGACAACTCTTCAGTCCCTTTATAGTTTGACTATACACTGCGCTCATATAGGATTTCCTAAAACATCTAAATACTGTTGTCTCCTCACAAATAGCAGAATTGTTCCCTGGTCATGCAGTAACAGTGCTCAGTGTGGCAAACGCGCCGCTAAGCGTGAGTGAGTGAGTGTGTGTGTGTGTGTGTTACTCCAGACGTGTTCAGATGAAGATTGCTGTGATTCAGTCATTGATGCTGATGTTCCACTGAAGAATCCTTCATTTTCCACAGCATGAACACATGAGAGTCCTCCAGAATGCGTGAAGATAATGTTAATCCTGAAAACACACAGAACAAACAGAGCCTTCAGTGTGAGGAAATAACAGTCACACGGTGAAGGAACAGAAAGAGGAGCGAAGCATGACCGGATTAGTTAGTGGAACCGATGAACTGACATCATGCATGTTAAAATCACAACTAAAGAAACAGCACAGGCCTCAGGAACATGCCTCTATGATATTATATCATACAGTAAAACCAGGAGTTTACATTTTCCACAAGAAAATGTAAGCAGCATTTCCTCACTCTGTGACTCAGAGTGACCTGAGTGCTTACCATAGCATTGCAATGTGGTTGATATGGTGTTCAGATGGTTGCTAGGGTGTAGGGGTTGGTTGTTAGGGCCTTATGAGTGGTTGTCATATTGTTGATAGGGTGTTTTGGGGGTTGATATGGTGTTCAGATGGTTGCTAGGGTGTTATGGTGAAGATGGTTGTTAGGGTTTGGGGTTTGGTTGTTAGGTTCTTATAAATGGTTGTTATATTGTTGATAGGGTGTTTTGGGGGTTGATATGGTGTTCAGATGGTTGCTAGGGTGATATGGTGTAGATGGTTGTTAGGGTTTGGGGGTTGGTTGTTAGGGTCTTATAAATGGTTGTTATATTGTTGATAGGGTCTATTGGGTGGTTGATTTGGTGTTCAGATGGTTGCTAGGGTGTTTTGGTGTAGGCGTTGGTTGCTAGGGCCTTGTTAGTGATGGTTATATTGTTGCAAGGACTTTTTGGGTGGTTGATGCAGTGTTTAGATGGTTGCTAGGGTTTGGGGGTTGGTTGTTAGGACCTTGTGTGTGTTGTTGATTTTGGGTGTTTTGGGTGGTTGATATGATGTTCAGATGGTTGCTAGGGCGTTATGGTGTAGGGGTTGGTTGCTAGGACTTTATTAGTGGTTTTTATATTGTTGGGTGGTTGATGCATTGTTAAGATGGTTGCTAGGATTTAGGGGTTGGTTGTTAGGTTGTTATATTGTTAATAAGGTGTACTGGCTGGTTGATATGGACTTCAAATGGTTGCTAAGGTGTTATGCTGAAGGGGTTAATTGTTAGGGCCTTATGAGTGGTGGTCATACTGTTCATAGAGTGTTTTGGGGATTGATATGGTGTTCGGATACTTGCTAGGGTGTTATGGTGTAGAGGTTGGTTGCTAGGATATAATTGATGGTTGTTATATTGTTGCTGGGACTTTTTGGTTGGTTGATATGGTGTATAGATGGTTGTTAATGTTTAGGAGTTGGTTGTTAGGGTCTTATAAGTGGTTGTTATATTGTTAATAGATTGTATTGGGTGGTTAATTTGGTATTTAGATGGTTGCTAGGGTGTTGTGGTGTAGGGGTTGGTTGCTAGGGTCTTATTAGTAGTTGTTATATTGTTGCAAGGATTTTTTTTTGGTTGGTTGATGCAGTGTTTAGATGGTTGCTAGGGTTTAGGGGTTGGTTGTTAGCGCCTTATGAGTGGTTGTCATATTATTAATAGGGTGTAATGGATGGTTGATTTGGAGTTTAGATGGTTGCTAGGGTGTTATGGTGTAGGGGTTGGTTGCTATGGGCTTATGAGAGGTTGCTTAATTGTTGATAGGGTGTTTTGGGTGGTTGATATGGTGTTCAGATGTTAGCTAGCGTGTAAAGGGGTTGGTGCTAGGGCCTTATGGGTGGTTGCTTTGTTGTTGATAGGGTGTTTTGGGTGGTTGTTATGGTGTCCAAATGATTGATAGGGTGTCATGGTAAAGGGCTTGGTTGCTAGGGCCTTGATAGGGTTTTTTTTTATATTGTTGTTAGGGTGTATTGGGTGGTTGATATGAAGTATAAATGGTTGCTGGGGTGTTATGGTATAAGGGTTGGTTGCTAAGGCATAATTAATGGTTGTTATATTGTTGCTAGGGTTTTTTGGGTGGTTAATGCAGTGTTGGGCAACGCAGTGGCAGAGTAGGTAGTGCTGTTGCCTCACAGCAAGAAGGTCGCTGGTTCAAACCTCGGCTCAGTTGGCGCTTCTGTGTGGAGTTTGCATGTTCTCCCTGCGTTCGCGTGGGTTTCCACCAGGTGCTCCGGTTTCCCCCACAGTCCAAAGACATGCGCTATAGGTGAATTGGGTAGGCTGAATTGTTCATAGTGTGTGTGTGTGTGTGTGTGTGTGTACTGTGTGTTTCCCAGAGATGGGTTGCGGCTGGAAGGGCATCCGCTGAATAAAAACATGCTGGATAAGTTGGCGGTTCATTCCGCTGTGGCGACCCCAGATTAATAAATGGACTAAGCCGACAAGAAAATGAATGAATGAATGTACAATGCAGTGTTTAGATGCTTGCTAGGGTTTAGGATTTGAATGTTAGGGCCTTATGAGCGGATGTTATACTGCTGATAGGGTGTATTGAGGTTTGATATGGAGTTCAAATGATTGCTAGGATGATATGGTGTTCGGCCTGCTTGCTAGGGCCTTATTGGGGGTTGTTATATTTGTTGCTAGGATTTTTGGGTGGTTGATGCGGTGTTTGGATGGTTGCTAGGGATTAGGGGTTGGTTGTTAGGGCCTTATGTGTGGTTATATTGTTGACAAGGTTTATTGGGTGGTTGATATGGAGTTCGAATGGTTGCTAGCGTGTGATGGTGTAGGGGTTTGTTGCTAGGGCCTTGTTGTTAGCTGTTAGATTGTTGCTAGGATTTTTGGGTGGTTGATGCAGTGTTTAGATGGTTGCTAGGGTTTAGGGGTTTGTTGTTAGGGCTTTATGGATGCTTGCTTTATTGTTGATAGGGTGTTTTGCATGGTTGATATGGAGTTCAAATGGTTGCTAGGGTTTAATGCTAAAGTGGTTGGTTTCTAGGGCCTTATCAGTGGTTGCTTTATTGTTGATAGGGTGTATTGGGTGGCTGTTAGGGCCTTATGGGTGCTTGCTATATTGTTGATAGGGTGTTTTAGGTGATTGATATGGTGTTCAGATAGTTGCTAGGGTGTAGAGGTTGGTTGATATGGCCTTATGGGTGGTTATTATATTGTTGTTATGGCTACTAAATGGTTGCTAGTGTTTAGGTGGGTGCTATTTGGTTGCTAGGGATGGTCATTTTGGCTTATTTGGATGTTATGGTGTTTTGAGAGGTTGCTAAGGTTTTATGATATTTAAGTGGTTGCTAAGGTGTTATGGTGGTTGCTGTGTGGTTGCTACAGTGTTATTATCTGTGTGGCATTTGCAATGTGAATGTTATAGAGTTCTGGTTGCTATGTTGTTTCTGGGATATTATTGCATGCAGTGGTCGCTACGGTGCATTTAGTGTTTTTTATGGATGCCATGATGTTTTGCCGGGGTTTATATTTTGGTTGCTCGGTTGTGGTATTGTATGTGTGTATTATGGTGTTGCTATGGTGTTCCAGGTGTTTTCTCCCTCCTATTGTCAGTCTGTGCAGTACTACTGAGACTGTGAACACGATTGATCTCAGCGAGTGTCATCGTGTGGTCACATGACGCATGGAGATGATCTGCAGTTCCACTTTCCACCAGCAGAATGCAGTGTGATTCAAATAAACAGCAGCAGATTCAGTCAGATGTGAGTTAGTCAGTGTTGTAAAAGCAGCAGTCAGAGAGTATCAGCACTCAGCCAGAGTCCCCGGAGCGCAGATGGACAACAGGAGAATTAGCAGAAGCTGTGTTAGACGAGCAGCCAGTAGCAGAGCTCCAAACCGCAGCAGCCAATCAGCTCACAGCAGCCAAGCGGAATCCAGCTGTGATTGGCTGTGGTCTTACCTGTGTCACTCCTCAGCCTCCTCCGGCGTGATCTCCGTCTCTTTATGCACCACCACTTTGGTCACTGACATGTCGGGGTGCTGTTCTTTAGCTTCTTTAATGGCCTGAGCCAGAGCCTGACCCACATAACACCCGCATGAGAACAGCGCAACACACACACACACACACACAAACACACACACACAACTGTGTCCTTCTACACACACTCTCTCACCATCTGTGAACTGATGATGATCAACCGTTACCACACTATCAGAACACAGACGTGACTCTGGACACGCTACAGTCACACATGGTGATGGTAAACATGTGTCAGCATTCCTGCATTAGCTATACATTAACACAGTGAAAGATTAACGATACACACTGGTTATCCAAACTCCAAACACTCAGCACTGGTGTGTTGTACTGGAGGGAGCTGAACAGAACTCTGTGACGTCTCTCACCTCGTCATGATCGATGTCTGCATCTCCTGAGATCACGATCCTCTTCTCGATCCGCGTTTCTGAGATACCACCTTTCACCGTCTGCCACACACACACACACACACACACACACACACACACACACACAGTCAGAGAAACACACATACAGATGCACACACACAATCAAAGACACACACACAGTCAGAGTCATATACACACACACACACACACACACACACACACACACATGTACGTACGCACACACTGTAGTGTCAGTCAGTACCTTAGTGATGTGTGTGGTCGTGGTGGTGCTGGTGGTTTCTGATGTGATGGTCTGAGCACTCATCAGGACACCAGGATCAGCATCACCATCTGTCTCCGCCTGACACACACACACACACACACACACACACACACACACACACACACACACACACACACACACACACACACACACAAAGCAGACACAAATTATTACTAAAGAACATGCCTGATAATATATCCATCATATACAGGTACAATGTGTGTGTGTGTGTGATTGTTTGTCTGGGAGTGTGTGTGTGTACGTGCATGCATATGAGAGTATGTCTATATGTATGAGTGTGTGTATGTTTGCCAGAGTGTGAGTGTCTTTATGTCTGCAAGCATGTGTGTGTGTGTCTGTAAAAAATCGTATATGCGTGTCTGTGAGATACCCTGTGTGTGTGTGTGTGTGTGTGTGTGTGTGTGTGTTTAATGACTGTGCCATCACACACACCTGCAGGGCCTCATATGTGATGGTCTTGATCTCGGTCTGGATCACAGGTGTGTCATGTGTCTCGTGTGTGTCGTGTGTGTCTCCTGACACACTCCTGAAACTCAAGACGCCCGTCTGCAGAACACACACACACACACACACACACACACACACACACACACACACACACACACACACACACACACACACACACACACACACACACACACACACACACTAGTAACTGCTCCAGTTTCAGCACAGGGATCATCACATCAACAGTGATCATTGAAGGACTCAAACACTGGGAGAAGGAGAACGAGGAGCGGCTGGAGAAACACAGATGAGTCCGTTCATCAAAATACACACCTGCACCAACACACACACCTCGACACATCACAGAAAAACTCCACATTATTAATCATTCAATAATACACAGCTGTTGGGAATACTGGATTCTGATTGGTCAGTTGTGACTAGTATGTTTTTCCTAGATAACCATGGCTGAATTACACACACTAGTCTGGGAGCTGAGCATCAGCGTCAGTGAATACATTCATCCATATACTGACACACACACTCATTCATGCTGCTTTAGTTTCTGTCAGCTTTGTGTTTCTGTCTGTCTCCATCTAGTGTCTGAATAATGCGCAGGTTAGTGTATACTCCATCAGCTGTTTCTGACTGTCTTCATCTAGTGTCTGAATAATGTGCAGGTTAGTGTATACTCCATCAGCTGTTTCTGACTGTCTCCATCTAGTGTCTGAATAATGCACAGGTTAGTGTATACTCCATCAGCTGTTTCTGACTGTTTGTCTCCATCTAGTGTCTGAATAATGCACAGGTTAGTGTATACTCCATCAGCTGTTTCTGACTGTCTCCATCTAGTGTCTGAATAATGTGCAGGTTAGTGTATACTCCATCAGCTGTTTCTGTCTGTCTCCATCTAGTGTCTGAATAATGTGCAGGTTAGTGTATACTCCATCAGCTGTTTCTGTCTCCATCTAGTGTCTGAATAATGTGCAGGTTAGTGTATACTCCATCAGCTGTTTTAGACTGTCTCCATCTAGTGTCTGAATAATGTGCAGGTTAGTGTATACTCCATCAGCTGTTTCTGTCTCCATCTAGTGTCTGAATAATGCGCAGGTTAGTGTATACTCCATCAGCTGTTTCTGTCTGTCTCCATCTAGTGTCTGAATAATGTGCAGGTTAGTGTATACTCCATCAGCTGTTTCTGTCTCCATCTAGTGTCTGAATAATGTGCAGGTTAGTGTATACTCCATCAGCTGTTTCTGTCTCCATCTAGTGTCTGAATAATGCGCAGGTTAGTGTATACTCCATCAGCTGTTTCTGACTGTCTCCATCTAGTGTCTGAATAATGTGCAGGTTAGTGTATACTCCATCAGCTGTTTCTGACTTTCTCCATCTAGTGTCTGAATAATGTGCAGGTTAGTGTATACTCCATCAGCTGTTTCTGACTGTCTCCATCTAGTGTCTGAATAATGCGCAGGTTAGTGTATACTCCATCAGCTGTTTCTGACTTTCTCCATCTAGTGTCTGAATAATGTGCAGGTTAGTGTATACTCCATCAGCTGTTTCTGACTGTCTCCATCTAGTGTCTGAATAATGTGCAGGTTAGTGTATAATCCATCAGCTGTTTCTGACTGTCTCCATCTAGTGTCTGAATAATGCGCAGGTTAGTGTATACTCCATCAGCTGTTTCTGACTGTCTCCATCTAGTGTCTGAATAATGCGCAGGTTAGTGTATACTCCATCAGCTGTTTCTGACTGTCTCCATCTAGTGTCTGAATAATGTGCAGGTTAGTGTATACTCCATCAGCTGTTTCTGACTGTCTCCTTCTAGTGTCTGAATAATGTGCAGGTTAGTGTATACTCCATCAGCTGTTTCTGACTGTCTCCTTCTAGTGTCTGAATAATGTGCAGGTTAGTGTATACTCCATCAGCTGTTTTCATTTCTTTCAGCTTTGCATTTAATTAAAGAATAATAAACTATTAAAGCTCAGAGCAATGTTGTGTAGCTACTTTTAAATCGCTCTAAAAACAAGTGTTCATGGCTACACAATAAAGGATAATAATACAATAATAAAATGTCAGTTTGTAACATCACGGAGCAGAACAGGCGGTTTTTAACATCTAGAAATCAATGAAAGTGAATGAGAACGGAAGTGTCAATATTCCAACGATTGCACTCGCTCATACATCAAGAATAAGGCTAATACCTTTGAATGTTGTGATTGACCAATTAGAATTAAGTATTCCAGAAAGCTGTGTGAAAAACCAGCTTGATGTACTTAATAAACAGCAGAGTCTGAAACTAGATTATCTAGCCTAACAGTGGAGAATCGTCACAAGAGGGCGGATGTTCAGGGATGGTTCAGGTTTGGGGTCAGAGGTCACCTCTACACCAGCCATCAGGTCGACCTCGCCACTGTGACCCTCAGCTACACCCCTCTGCTCAGATAGGCTGATGTTGGGCGATCGATCTCCATCATCATCTTCATCATCGGTGGACAGTGTGAAGCTCTCTCCTTCAGACTCACTCTCGCTAGGGGATTCGGCCCTCTGTGGGGCCACGCGCTCGAGGGGTCCATCGAGGTTAGTGGAGTTCACACTGCTGGAGTCACTGGAGTCGCCGTCAGACTCAGACTCATCAAGAGCTCGCACGGAGCTCAGCGGCTCTACACATGCAACACATGCCTGATAATACCCATCGGGCTCCAAGGGGCCCGCTGGAGGTGCAGGTACCTGAGGCTTGTCCAGCGGTTCATCTGCCGGCCGCTCCTCTTCTGTCAGACCCTTTCCCAGATGCTCATCCACACTCTCTGATGGCTGTCGAGAACACATTATTACATTATTAAATGATCAAACACTCCAACAATGACCTTTACGGCTTGTCGAAACTATAAAATCACTATAAATACAGGTTTAAAACACATTTACAAAGAAGAATCGCTGAAACGCTCATCTCTGAAAAGCTTTTTCATGTTGGAAACGGATGAATATTTCCACATATTGTGTTTATAGAGCTGACCTGATTCTGTGGGGTGTGTAAAGCTGCGGGCGCAGGCGTGACCAGAGCAGATGCAGACGCAGATGGAGACGCAGATGCAGGAACAGGCGTCCAGCTGCGTGCAGACTGCAGGAGCGCCGTCAGCTCAGGAGACATCTCCTCAAAACTGGGCTTCGGCTGAACACACACACAGCATTACAAATACAAACACACACACAGTGTTACAAACACACACACACACACACACACACACACACACACACACACACCACACAGGGTTTATTCATAAGAGATGGATCAGAGCTTGGCATGAAGGACGAGTGTTTACAATAGTCCACCAGTAGGTGGCGCTGAAGATGTGTGTCATTTTGCAGAAATCCAGCCCCACTTCTCGTCTAATCTGTGTACATATACAGTGCTGATCATTATTGAGCATACCCCACACACACATCTCTCTTTACAGTAATGTTCTCTACAGGAGCTGTACAGTAAGATATGTGCACAGATACATTAGATCACGAAGATCTCCTATGAATAACCCCGACACCCAGCAGCAAAAATAAAGAATCTCATTCATTCAAAGCAGCGCGTTCACAAAAACACCAGGACAAACAGATGCATTTTCCATGTTCCCGCTTTTGGGCTCAGAGACTCAAACAAACAAACAAAAATAATAATAAAATAAAATAAAATAAAATAAAATAAAATAAAATAAAATAAAATAAAATAAAATAAAATAAATAAATAAATAAAGAGTGCAACAGCAATCACCAATGTGAGGGTTGTGTGTTAATCACTATATAAATACATGCATCTTGACTTAAAGGGCACCTATTATGCAGAAATTAATTTTTTTGCATATAGCTCCGCCCTCTTCTAAACATCTCATTTGAATTTAAAGCGACAGTCACCAAAAAGCCATAATAAGGATCAAAGCCTGAAAGGGTCAGTTTCAGAGAGTTGTGCAACATTATCTGTGCTGTTCAGCTCAAACACACTCTCTCTTGTAAAAAGAGGCATAATAGGTCTCCTTTAAGAATGTTTTGTCAAAGAAAACCCAGAAAAATATAATGTGATCAATCTTGACAGCGTTATGAAGATGTTGGCGATGTAAACCAGCACAAAAACACAAAGACAAACACAAAGACAAACACTAAGACGTGTCGGAGAAAAAAAACAAGGTTCCCGATCTCAAATGAAGAAATAAATACGGAAATAAAGAGCGACAGCAAATTCCAGCGTGAGGGATTTGTGTCAAACAGCAAGCAGGAGCTCTGGAGCAGATCCTCCGACGGGGAATTTTACCACTTTGGCTGTCGGGGAGGTTCTGAGGAGCGCCGGAGAAATCCGACCCGCTGACAGATCCTCACTCCTGGGTCGTACTGAAGACGGAGGCGGTGCGGAGCTCATGGAGGACAGAAACCTATAACTGGAGCTGTGTTTCTTCTCTGGAACCTTCGGAGGAACTTTAGGAGGAACTTTAGGAGGAACATCTTCAGTTTTCTCTGAGTGAATCTTCTCTGGAGGAGTTTCATCTACAGTGGTCTTCTCTATAGTTTTCTCCAGAGGAGTTTCATCTACGGTGGTCTTCTCTGGAAGAGCTTCATCTACGGTGGTCTTCTCTGGAAGAGCTTCCTCTACAGTGGTCTTCTCTGGAGGAGCTTCATCTTTGGTGGTCTTCTCCGGATCCATCTTCTCTGCTGGAACGTCTTCTGGAAACTCCTTCATCGGTTCAGCTGGAGGAGATGCGTCTTGCACTATGATTTCAGGCTGAATGGAGGATTTGTCTCTAGTTTCTACTGGTGCTTTATGTGCTTCAAACGGAGGAACCTTGTTTATAATGACCCACCCGTCAGACTCCTATGTTTGACACACAGAGATTACGTTAGAGCGGGTCACACACACGTGTGTTAGAGACGCCTCAGACATACAGAAATATGATAAGAACAGGTGAATCAACAGATACAGGTGAAGGCTAAATTACACAACCTCCTGTGACATTTGTGGCTTTTTTCAATAATTTGTTGATGTTTTGACACGGTATTTACTCTGATATTTGATTGATTTATTTATTTTTTGGCTACAGTAAAATCAGGTTTTACATTTTTTTACTTTAAAATTTAGGGTCACCAATAAGCCTCTTTAGAAATGTTTTTATTTTTGATCGTGTACAGAACAGACCACTGTTATACAATAATTTGCCTAATATACCCAGTTAAGCCTTTAAATGTCACTTTAAGCTGAATACCAGTGTCTTAAAAATGTAAAGGCAAATACATAAGAGAAAAGAAATCAGCGATTAGTTATTATATCATAAGTTATTACAGTGCTCAGCATGATGGAGTACAGCCTGTTTAGAAAATGAATATGTTCCTCCATTACTCAGTGTATTTTGGTGCATTTAAACAAAAGAGATTTATTAAACAAATATATTTATGAAAAATAATATTTTAGTCACCAAACATATTTAGAAATTAAATGATAATACAATTAAATTGAAGCAACATTTAGCAAAAATGAATTACAACCTATAAAATGTCAATGTTTTGCTTCTCTTGATTTTTCCTCTTGGTTATTTGTATTTAATATTTCTCTATAGCATATGAATGTGGCTGTACTTGTGTTTTTGCATTATTATAAGTTATTTTGTTAGATGAGCTCCAGATTTGGCTTCAGTGCTGATTAATGTATATGCACTAATACTGTAGAGCTTCCTATTGAACATCAGTGTAAAAGAGAGATGTGTGAGGGGTGTGTGTACGCATATATGCTGAGCACTGTATCTATAAAATTCATTCATTCATTTCCTTTTCGGATTAGTCCCTTCTGGGCTCGCCACAGCGGAATGAACCGCCAATTTATCCAGTAAATGTTTTACACAGCGGATGCCCTTCCAGCTGCAACCCCCGGAGGAAACCCACGCCAACACGGGGAGAACATGCAAACTCCACACAGAATCACCAACTGACCCAGCCGAGACTCAAACCAGAGACCTTCAGTGAGGTGAACATGCTATCCACTGCGCCACCGTGCAGCCACTGTATCTATAAACTGAGTTGTAGAAATCTTCTTTCTCTTAAACTGCTCTTGGGGAATATTTAGAAAGGTGGTGTAAATGTGACAGTAGGGGGATCATTTAGACTTCATCTGCATACATAATGATATGTAAAACATTTGATCATACTTGCATGTTTGTCATTCTAATGGTGGGAAATAACATGTATTTTGTAAATATTGTTGCATATATGACGTATTATATATATATATATATATATGTATATGTGAAAGCCAGATTTGCATATATTACCATATATCATATTTCTATATGGGGAATCACACACACACACACACATATAGACAGACACTGTTCACACCTCGTGAGTAAATCTCATACCTCATCAACCTTCCTGTTGTTCTCCTGCGTATCCAGAGCCGCTGCCACTTCTTGTGTCTCCGCCACTTCCTGTGTCTCCACCACTACTTCCTGCTTGATCTGAAGGAGAATAAATGGATGGAGCTCAAATGGAGCTTCTTCCTACCATATCTCATGAGTTAAACAACAGTTTGAGCTCTACTGAACAACTAACATCCCAACACCACATGAAATACTACAGTACGTTATAGAACATACTAAAGTGTTATGAACCACACAACTGTTTCTTTAAAGATGCTGCTCTATAGTTGCTATGGTAACACAATAACTATAGTAAAGTACTTAGATCAATCTGTTGTGGTGATTCTACAGTTGCTATGGTAACAGCTAAAGTAATATAAACAAAAGAGCCAATTTAGAAATAAATATATCACTTATTTCATAATATTGATAATAAAATATTAATAAGACAATAAGAACATATATATATATATATATATGCGTGTGTGTGTGTATACAGTGCTGAGCATAATTGAGTACACCCCCTTTAAAAATGATTATTAATATCCATTTCTCACTGAATATAGACAATAATGTTTGGTGCAATTAAACAAAATAGTTTTATTAAACAGTTAAATCCATTAAAATAAGAATCTGCTCGCCGAACATCTGTAGGAACAGAAAGATAATGAATTTAAATAATGTTATTGCAAGAAATATATATTTTTCATTACAAACTACCAAATTTCAAATTAATTTGATATCTTTTTCTATGATTTTTATTTTTATTTTATTTAACAATAGTTAGTGTGTAGTAATGTTTGGACTGTGATCTTCAGTGTTGATCAGTTTTGTCTTTCTGACTAATCTGCACAGATATATATTACTGTAAAACATCCTGGACAGAATATTACTGTAACAGAGAGATCTGTGAGGGGTCAATACATTATACACAATATTACAGTAATATATATTAAATATATATATATATACAGTTGAAGTCAGTATTATTCGCCCCCCCTGTTTATTTTTCTTCCAATTTCTGTTTAATGGAGAGATTTCTCCAGCACATTTCTAATCATAATAGTGTTAATAACTCATCTCTAATAACTGATTTATTTCCTCTTTGTCATGATGACAGTAAATAATATTAGACTAGATATTCTTCAAGACACTTCTATACAGCTTAAAGTGACATTTAAAGGCTTCACTAGGGTAATTAGGGTAACTAGGCAGGTTAGGGTAATTAGGAAAGTTATTGTATAATGATGATTTGTTCTGTAGACTATCGAAAAATATATAGCTTAAAGGGGCGAATAATATTGACCTTAAAATGGTGTTTAAAAAATTAAAAACTGCTTTTATTCTAGCCGAAATAAAACAAATCAGACTTTCTCCAGAAGAACAAATATTATCAGACATACTGTGGAAATTTCCTCAATCTGTTCGACATCATTTGGGAAATATTTAAAAAAGAAAAAGAAATTAAAAGAGGAGTGAATAATTCTGACTTCAACTGTATATGAAAACCCAGATATAAAGCAGAGATATGTGGTGTAAAAGTCAGCCGTTTGCCTGTTCCTCAGATGTATAATTCAGAAGCTGAAGTGTGTTTTGCTGATCAGGAAGAGGATCTCTCTCTCTCTCTGTCTGCTTTATATAAGAGGCACATAATGATTTTCCTGCTCTGAACTGCTTAGTGCTGCTAAACGCAGATCCATGAGAACTCCAGTGTTTCTGCAGAGAACAAAACCTCAATCAATGGCAGACTTTCTGCTGACGGCAAATCACTGGTCACTGAAGCTGCTCTGACAAACGCCATCCATACACACACACACACACACACACACACACACACACACAGACACACACAGACACAGACACACACACACACACACACACACACACACACACACACACACACACACACACACACACACACACACACACACACACACACACAGCTCATCCAGCACCAGCGGCTCGATCCTGGCTGCTTCATCCAGATGCGGCGAGTGCAATAAACTAGTTTTTGCTATGAATGAACACTGCTCTGCTTACCCTGTTGCTTGTTTTCAGAAAAAGTCACTTAATTTTGTCTCTTTATTTCTAAAAACAACACAATGTTCTCTATAAAATGTAAAGCATGCTCTACAGTGATATCTCTGACCTCGTCCAGCTCCAGGGGTTCGATCATTGGCGGTTCCTCCCGCCGCGGCGAGCGCAGCGGGGACGAGGACAGACGCTTCTCCCACTCGGTAAGGCCCGCCGGCTCCGCTCCGCCCTCCAGGAATGTCCTTTTCAGCTCACTGATGTTGGTCTGCGGCTTCAGCTGCTCGTCCGGCGTCAGATCCGCCTCCTGGAGGAACACAACAACACAACATTATTAATAAACCTGCAGTCTCCAATGCAGACGACAGCCGGACATTTTTTGGGGAGTTCAACAGGTCACGGGAATCCCACAGGATGAGGAGCAAAATCACTATTAATCACAGGATTGGGACGGAGCAAGTCAGCAGGAGCGGGAATCAGAATAACAATCAGCAATCGGTTTAGTCCCTTGTTTATCTGTGGTCACCACAGTGGAATGAACCACCAATTATTTCAGCATATGTTTTACACAGCGGATGGCCTTCCAGCTGCAACCTAGTACTGGGAAACACCCATACACACTCATTCACACTCATACACTATGGTCAGTGTAGATGATCAGTTCCCCTATAGCGCATGTGTTTGGACTGTGGGGGAAACCGGAGCACCCGGAGGAAACCCACACCAACACGGGGAGAACATGCCAACTCCACACAGAAAGCACTACCTACTGCGCCACTGTGTCGCCACATCTGTGATTACATCTCCTATAATCAAGTAACATTAAAAAAATTACAGGTTTGGTTTTTATTCAACTAAACCTGGGCATTGTGCATGCTGTAACCCAGTGTTTCTCAACCACGTTCCTGGAGGAGCACCAGCTCCACACATTTGTCTCCTTCACCAAACACACCTGATTCAGACCATCAGCTCATTAGCAGAGACTGTAATGGGTGTGACAGAGGAGACATCCAAAACATGCAGTGCTGGTGCTCCTCCAGGAGCGTGGTTGAGAAACACTGCTGTAGTCTCTACTGCATATTTCACTGCAACTGACAGATTCACACTGTTCTTGTGGATCACCTTTTTGCTCCTGATTGACTTTGCCTGTAAGACCATTCTTCCTTTAATAAAGCTCATTACAATGAGAAGCAGAGTTCATAACAGTGTTAATAACTCATCTCTAATAACTGATTTATTTTCTCTTTGTCATGATGACAGTAAATAATATTAGACTAGATATTCTTCAAGACACTTCTATACAGCTTAAAGTGACATGTAAAGGCTTCACTAGGGTAATTAGGGTAACTAGGCAGGTTAGGGTAATTAGGCAAGTTATTGTATAACGATGGTTTGTTCTGTAGACTATCGAGAACAAATATAGCTTAAAGGGGCGAATAATATTGACCTTAAAATGGTGTTTAAAAAATTAAAAACTGCTTTTATTCTAGCCCAAATAAAACAAATAGGACTTTATCCGGAAGAAAAAATATTATCAGACACACTGTGAACATTTCCTCAATCTGTTCAACATCATTTGGAAAAAAAATAAGATTAAAATAAAAAATAATAATAATTCTGACTTCAAATATATATATATATATATATATATGCACACAGTCAAATCTTACCTTGGTTTTTGCTTCAGACTCGTCCTCCTGATCCGACTGCACAAAAAACACAAAATTGAGGAGTAATAATGAGAATGATCAGAGTAATGCTGAGAGCTGAACTCATTAACATCTCCAGGAGAATAGTCATGATCATTATCAGATGAAGGTTAAATGAGCACATCAGCAGCAGAGATTCACCGAGGGTCTGTGTCACACGCAAAACACACTTAAAATCACAGTTTAGTAACTTTAGTAAATTAGTAACATTTAGGATAATGAAAATATTAGATAACACTGTTCTAGAGCTTTTGTGTTACTTGAATTGAAAGAACTCATACAAATATGACAGAAATAATGACTTTAATGTGACTTAATGCTTTAATAAAGTTAGTTATGAAGAGCACATTTGGTACACAGTTTATTAAACATATTCTACTGTGTGAACTGATAAAAGTATTAAACCACACATGAACTTGGTAAATTGCATTTTAATCATTTTCCTCCCATATAAACTGCTAAAAACGAGCCTTAATTGTTTTAAAGTGCTATATAAAGGCCAACAGTGGCATACATTCTATTAAAACAGTTTTCTGTCTGATGATGAATTAAAGCTGAATATAAACAGAAGATGTTCAATTTCACAATATAAACACAAAACCTGCTATCTACAAATACTTCATGTGGCTTTATGATTTAATAAATTCACATATAGAGACTGAAATTGGTATAAAGTTTCTTTAAAATATATTCAATGCACAGACAATCAGATGAAGCACAACACCATAAACTCAACAATAAGCTTTTTCCTCCTCTTAAATGAGCACTGGGATAATCGGTATGCATTAGGAAAGTATTATTTAGCATACTTTATACTGAATCTAGTCTTCTAATATCCCCTTTCACATATAAACCCTTTTCTTTTTCATGCTTTTATAAGATAAAATGTGCATTTTTAGCATGAAATTGACATTCTGTGTTCATCTGAGTCCCTGTATATAGAATATAATAATCTGTATACCCAATTTGATCCTTAAATACTCTACTATTAATGCAGTAATCCAAATCACACATGAACTGAGATCAGATGAAATGATCACAGACCTCAGTAGCGGTCAGTTCTCCATCTACAGCAGTGTCTGTCAGATCAGTCTGAGGGAGAAACACACACACACACACACACACACACACACACACACACACATTAGTGGAGTTAACAGAGTCACATTCAACCACCGACTGTGTGTGTATATGTATGTACTTTATGTATGTGTGCATATGTGTATTGCATATCTGCATGTGTGTGTGTGTGTGTGTGTACCCGTGTGTCGAGGCGGGCTGGTGTTGCTGGGCTGGGCAGTGACAGCTCTGTGGCTCTGGTGGTTTCGTCGTCGTCCTCCAGAATCATCACGTTCTCCACCAGCACCGTCTGCGTCTGCGTGTGTGTGTCCGTCTCTGTCTCTGTCTCCGTCTGCGGCTGCATCTGCTTGTCTGCATGTGTGTGTTTCTGCGGCTGCGGCTCCTCCTCCACCTTCTTCTCTGGGGTCACTGTGGTGATCAGGTCACTCATGGCAATGCCCTTCGCTGCGCCGTACAACGCTGTGCCCATCTCTACACACACACACACACGCACGCATGCACGCACACACACACACACACACACACACACACACACACACACACACACACACACACACAGGCAGACAGATTGAGTGCTGCAGTCACAATAGCACTGCAGAATGGCAGCATTATATTAGTATATTCCTCCACACAGATGATCTCCACTCCACATCATCTGCAGTCTCCAGCGCAGCTCAGCTCAAATCCCCTTATTTCACTCCAGCCGTTTGCCACAGAAACATTTGATTTCTTTCTAAATGAACTAAACTAAAGCTCAGATTAATCGAATAACAGAAACACATGTGGAGCTTTTATTTTATAGATGTTTGTAGATTTCCAAGAGTTTTAAAGGCGTCGCATCATCAAACATGTGAAAAATATGTCAATTTATGTGCACACACACACACACACACACACACACACACACACACACACACACACACACATACAAACATTTAATTACACATAAACACACACGCGCACACACGCACACACATACATTATATATATATATACATACAAACATTTAATTACACACACACACACACACACGAACACACACACACACACACACACACACACACACACACACACATACATATATACAGACAATGAATTACACACAAACGTGCACATGCACACATAAACACACAAACACGCACTAACATAAATAAACACACACACACATGTATATACATACAAACACTCAATTACACACAAACACGCACACATGCACACATAAATAAACACACTGACACACACACACACACATATACACACACACGCATACACACATAAACAAATGTGCACACGCACACACACACACACTTATTCTTTCTCTATCACACACAAACACTGAAACACACACACACACACACACACTTGATACCTTGTTTTTGTCACACAGACACACACACTCACTCACTCATATACACACAAATGTATATAAACACACGTACAAACACTCAATTACACACAAACATACACACGCCTACACATACACACAAACACCCGCACACACGCAAACATTCACACACACAATTCTCTTTCTCTATCACACACACACACACACAAACGCTGAATTACACACACACAGACAGACACACTTGAAATCTTGTCTGTCACATACATAGATACACACTCAATTACACACACACACACACACACACACACACATGATGATGATGATGATGAGGATGTTTCACCATATACTGTGATCATCAACACTTAATTACAGAAAGAAAATTAGAAATATATAATAAATTATTTTAAATATCATCAAATATGAAACTTACAAATGAATCAAACGACAAAAACAACCTTCACACAGTTTAAAATGCTGAAAATAAGAGAGTGACACTGAAGAAGAGCCCGATTCCAGATCTATCAGCCACATTTATTACAGCCACAGCCGAGTCAGCGCAGGCCTCTGAAGCAGAAGCAGACGGAGCGCCAGCGCATGCTAAACACACCCGGCTGCATGCACACACACACACACACACATTCACTCACACACACTCATTCACACAGTCATTCACACACACACACACATTCGCTCGCTCGAGGTCAATCTATCAGGGTGAAACAAGCAGACGGGGGTCTCCTGCATCTACAGGGTTTAACAGAGAGAAGCGTCTCTACCTGTTGATCTAGTGCCATTTACATTGACTGTCGCTGTGTTGACTGGTGTATTCCGCTGAGCTGAGGAGATTCACACACACACACAAACACACACACACACACACACACACACACACACACACACACAGTCTGAGCAAATACAAACACGCATACTGTATGTCAGACTTGACCACATGCACAAACCCAGAGTGACCCTAAAGCAGGGGTGTCAAACTCAGTTCCTGGAGGGCCGCAGCTCTGCAGAGTTTCGTTCCAGTCCTGCTCCAACACACTGAGGCTGCGGTCACACTGCACTTTTCTCCCCATAGACTTCCATTCATACGCAAGCTTGTGTATCAAGTTTCACAGTTCAGTGTGTTGCACAGTTCAAGCTTGGTGAACTCTGAGCTGTGAAATGGCATCATTTGACTGCGTGAGACCACTCGAGGATCAACATGACCTCTCTGTACAGAAATGTAAAACATGGAGCAATCGCTGGCTTTTTTTAATGTCTAATCATCTTATTAAATCCCGTCCCTTCTCGCAGCGCTGTATGGCAGAATTTCACAAGCACAACCTCCAGTGTGACCGCAGCTTTACCTGGAGGTATCAAGCAAGCCTGAAGCACTCCAGTGGTGTGATCAGGTGTGTTTAACTGGGGTTGCAGCTCAACTGTGCAGAGCAGCGGCCCTCCAGGAGCTGAGTTTGACACCTGTGCCCAAAATCGTCTGTTCACTGCAGTCTGATTCATCTGTTTCTGCAGGATCTGCATCATACTTCAGGTGTCTGCAGCTGTTTACATCTATTTTATCTACATATTTAGATTTTTATGTGGAATATTGCATAAAGTTGGCATGAAAGTTAAGATCCTGCATGATTTCATTATTCGGGACCCGAGTAGATCATTGGAAGATGAGTTGCTAACAAAATAATAGAAGATGTGTGACAAATGGAAGAAAGCTGGGCAAATAAAGAGACACGATATGATAGCCATGGCCAATAGGACTGATTCAATCATTCATCCATTCATTTTCCTTCAGCTTAGTCCCTTTATTCATCAGGGGAGAACATGCAAACTCCACACAAAAACACCAACTGACCCTGCCAGGACTCGAACCAGAGGCCTTCTTGCTGTGAGGCGCCACCGTAATAGGACCGATAGACACGCCTTAAATAACTGATAGCCCCTCCCTAAATTAACAATAGCTCCACCCTAAAATAATGATAGCCCCTCCCCAAAATGACTGACAAAGGATTGATAGCTCTGCCCCAAAGGACTGATAGCTTTGATCTAAAGACTGATAGCTCCGCCCCAAAGAAATGATGGCTCCACCCTAAAAGTATGATAGCCTCACCCTAAAGAGCTGATAGTTAAAGGACTAGTGTAGGGGTATCTGTGTGTGTGTGTGCATTTGTGGGCATATGTGTGTGTGCACCTGTATTTGTGCATGTGTGTGGCTGAGTGTGTGTGTATGTGTGTATGTGTACAAGCATTTATTTGTGGGTATGCGTATATGTGTGTGTGTGTGTGTGTGTGTGTGTGTGTGTGTGTGTGTGTGTATGTGTGTTAATGCTCTCTGAGACCCGCCGGCTTTATGCTGCAGCACAACAGAACACTTCAATTAGAGCAGGAGCGGGATGGAGAACAGACATGTACAGGAGCCTCGGGGGCCCAGATTACAGGTTAATGACAGTCAGCGCAGATAAATCCCTGTCCTGTCACGAGCCGCGCTTCAGTCTGAACTATACTGACAGCGGAAGAGGAAACACAACTGCAAACGAGGAAACAGACGTCTGCTAATGACTGATACTGAGGATGAGGAGAGCTAACACAGCAGCTCAGCAGATGACGGACACACAAACACAGACAACACACACACAACAGACGAACAACAGATGAAAATAAGACCAATAAACAACAAACAAACAGCAGGTGAACACACAAACAACAAAGAAACCCACACACAGAAACACAACAGATAAACAATAGACAAGCCAACAGACAAACATAAACAAGCAACAAACAATAGATGAAACAACAGAACAACAACTGACAAAACCACCAGACAAACAAACAAACAACAGATGAACATCAGAGGAACAACAGACAAAACCACTAAACAAACAAACAAACAAACAACAGATGAACTACAGACAAACAAGTAGACAAAACCACCAGACAAACAAACAAAAGACAAAACCACCAGACAAACAAAAACACCAGACAAAATTACCAGACAAACAACAACTGAACAACAGACAAAACCACTAGACAAACAAAAGATGAACATTAGACAAACAAACAAAAGACAGTCAAAAGACCAATAACAGATGGACAACAAACAAACATAAGACAAACAACAGACAAAACCACTAGACAAACAATAAACAGACAAACAAGACAGATAAATAGACAGATGAACAACAGACGAACAGGAGACAAAAAACAACAGACAAAACCACCAGACAAACAAACAACAAATGGACAACAGACGAACAACAGACAAACATCAGGCCAGCAACAGATGAACAGATGAACAGACGAACAGATAAATATCTAGGACAGACAGACAGATCAGACAAAGCAAACAAACCTCCGTCTAGACTGCGGGACATGGTGTATCGTTTGCTGGAGGAGCGCTGGAAGTAGGGTGCGGGCCGCACGATCTGTGAGCTGGCGCGTCTGGTTTGAGCCTGCGTCCGGCCGCTGTAGCGGAACTTAGAGCCCAGAGTCAGGAACTTCTTAGGGGGAGTTTCAGGCAGCACCAACCTGCAGACACCAGGAGAACCATCAGTGGAGGCCATGCACTGCATACAACTGCTGATCTTACTGTAACTTCTGTTGAAGTGCAGCTCAATATCCTGATAATACCATCCACTGTCATAAAAGAGTCACCACAGAGGTTTTGTCTTGTTTCTAGTACAAATATCTGAAAACTCTTAAATAGAGGAGCAATTTATAGACAAGCAGAAAATAAAGTCGTGATTTTAGAATTATTGAGTCAGAATGAACTGAGTTTTTCCTTAAAACAAGCACAATTATAGGGGAAGTGAAATAATCTTGTTTTCATTTTGACAAGATTAATTCTCCTCCCGCAGTGAAGTCATATATAATTATTCACTGTGTTTTGAAAATGATCAGGATGTCCAGCATGTTCGTTATCATGATATATTGAATTATTGAATATGAGTGTAAGTGTGTACATGTTTTAACTCTCACCTGAAGAATGTGTGATGCTCCACACACACCTTCCACAGTCTCTTTGCCGCTCTGTGGTTTGGGAGTTTAAAGCCGATTGTGCTTTCAAACTGCTCAAACTGAAGACAAAACACACCAGATCAGTTTAGAAACATGACGTACACACAGAAACAGGTGGAGGAGTATTGAACATACTTTTACTGCTGCGTATGCAAAGTTTTATAAATCTTTTATTTAGTTGCATTTACAGTTGTGACCAGCAGGTGTCGCCGTTTTTGAATGCTTGTTTTATTTAATCATTCATTTTCCTTCAGCTTAGTTCCATATACATCAGGGGTCTCCACAGCGGAAAGATCTGGCAACTATTCCAGTATATATTTTACACAGCGAATGCCCTTCCAGCTGCAACCCAATACTGGGAAACACCCATACACACTCATTCACACACACACACTGGCGCCAGTTTAATTAATCAGTTCCCCTATAGCGCATGTGTCTGGACTGTTGGGGAAACTGGAGCACCCGGAGGAAACCCACACCAACACAGTGAGAACATGCAAACTCCACACAGAAACACCAACTGACCCAGCTAGGACTCGAACCAGCGGCCTTCATGCTGTAAGGTGACAGTGCTACCCACTGCGCCTCTGTTTCACCATCAATAATGAATTCAAATGAATTCTAGTGTACGTTCAGTTTGGGAGGGTTTCTATGCAGAGTTCAGTAAATGTGAGCCGTGTACAGCAGATGGCGCTCTCACCTCTCCGGGGCGGATCTTGATGTAGAAGTTATTGCGTTTGTAGGAGATCTTCAGCACTTTAGGCCAGGCGAATCGGTTGATGCGGAGTCTGTCTCTGTAGATGAGGAGGCCTGACGAACACACGCCCAGCATGATCTCCACACCCTCAGAGTCCTGGCAAACCATTGGATTACAGAGCCGCCAATCAGCATCTCATTATCATGCACAAACCAATCACACACACACACTGCTGGCGCGCTCTGAATCTGAGTTATCGGCAGGGCCAGACAGAATACGTGGCCATTTCTTTTGCAGGTTCTGTGCTCTGTTGACCATCTGAGGACAGTAATGCAGTGTTTTGTGCATTTACACAGTTTTGACCAGCAGGTGTCACTAGTATGAGGTGTTTTGAACTCTCTGTAAATTAATTCAGTGAAGCAGTTGTACTCTTTTGAAGCATTGGAAAGCTTAATACTTTCTTTCGTACTTTAAATCAGAATTTTATCAAAAATATGCTGATTCTAATGCATGTTTTCTGAGGTATTTTGCATTTACACAGTTTTGACCAGCCGGTGTTGCTGGTATGTGGAGTTTCCAACTCTTTGAAACTGAATTATTTTATTTTGTGAAGCTATTAGTCTGATTGTTTTGAAGCTTTAAAAAACTTTGGTTCTCGCATCACTATTTTACATCGGATTTTTGATAAAAAAAATCTATGGTTTTTGATGTATGATTTGTTGCATTTACACAGTTTTGACCAGCAGGTGTCGCTAGTACATTCATTTCCCTTTGGCGTGGTCTCTTATCTATCAGGGGTTGCCACAGAGGAATGAACTATTCCAGCATATGTTTTAAGCAATGGATGCCCTTCCAGCTGCAACCCAGTACTGGGAAACACTCATACACTGTCATCCACTATGACCAATTTAGTTGATCAATTCCCCTATAGCGCATGTGTTTGGATTGTGGGGAAAACTGGAGAAAACCCAAGCCAATTCAGGGAGAACATGCAAACTCCACACAGAAATGCCAACTGACCCAGCCGGGATTCAAACCAGCGACTCTCTTCAGACACCATGTCACCCCCGTCTCTAATCCATGGTGTTTTGAGTGCTTGAATTATTTTGCAAAGCAATTAATCAAATTGCTTCTAAGCATTTAAAAGCTTCAATTCTCCCATCACTACTTTAAATCTGAATTTCAAACTCAATTCCTGAAGAGCCGCAGCTCTGCACAGTTTTGCTGCCACCCTATCAAACACAGCTGATCCATATGACTGAGCTGTTCAAAAGAGTCATGAACACCTTCATTAGTTGGATCAGCTGTGTTTAGTCAGGGTTGGAGCAAAACGCAGAGCTGCGGCTCTCCAGGAATTGAGTTTGAGACCTGTGATCTACAGATTCTATTGCATGTTTTGGTGCATTTACAGAGGTTTGACCAGCAGGTGTCACTAAAACGTGTTTTTTTTAAATGGTTCAGTGAATTATTTCAAACTTTCAAACCTTTAAATCAGAATTTTGTAATAAATCTGCAGATTTGTGTGGAATAGTTTAGAGCCGGGGTGCCCAAAAGTTTTCTTATGAAGGGTCAACAAGCAAACTTGATTAAGGGCTGTGGGCCAAAGGTAAATATAGCAAACTGTATTACATTAATAATGCCATGGGTCATTAATAATATTTAAACATAACAATAAATCATTGCTTTATATTAACTTATGTAGGATAATAATTAATTACTATTTTAAGAATAAATTAATAATAGTATGAACAAAGAGAATTATAACAGAATGCAGTTTAATGCTGTATACATGAGTCAAGCCGCACCGGTTTTTGCCTTGATGTGATGTCTCGCTGATGTCTTCAGCATTGTTCTCTGTCCATACATTGACAGTATTTACAGAATTATTGAAAGTCTGATTATTTACAACATTTAATTGAAACATTTAATTTTAGTTTGCTATTATTTTGTAGCTCAGCAATAAGACATTTTTAAAAAGCTATGTTATATTAGAAATGACCATCTCAGATAAAGGCATTCGCCCCAACACTCCCATCAGTCTCTTCTCAGACTGCATGGTGGCATAAATCAAAGGTAAAATCAGGCCAACTTTGGCCCGCGGGCCCTAGAGTTTGGGCATCTCTGGTTTAGACAGTAGCAAAATACACATAAAATAAAATAAAAAAACATTTTAACTTTGATTTAAGGTTTACAATGCAAATCAACTTAGATCCACTTATTTGGCAAACAAAAAAAGTCATAATGTGCTAAAGACAAACTGTTTAGTACACAATCCCTGATATTCAATAACATTAGCTCACTAAAATGAATATAAAAACTGAATAAATATATATTAATGCACATTTACTTAAGTATATAAATAGACTGAGTGATGGGCTCATATATAAATCTCCCTCTGAAGGGCCACGAAAAGAATTATGACCGCCATATTGAAGTGTTTACCAAACTCAAGTGCTCAAAACTGCACTGCAAACATTGCTTTTCCAGTCCAAACATCTGAAAACTCTTAAATCAAGAAGCATTTTCTAGACAAGAATTAAATATTGTGTTGCTTTCAGAAATAAAGAGTCAAATGAGGTGAGTTTTTCATTAAGACAAGCTAAATAATCTGCCAGTGGGGCTTCATTTTAATGACATTATTCCTGAAATCAACACAATAGGTTTTGGTCTAGAAAATGCTTCTTGATTTAAGAGTGTTCACATATTTAGACTCTGAGGAAGAGAAGCATTCTTTGCTATGTAACAACAGAATGTTCAGTTTTGCGTGAACGAACCCTTTAAGCCATCAGATTAAAGAGCTCAAAACAGAAGAGATATTGATCTATTTTAGAGCCGATCAGGTGTTTCTGGTGTCATCATCTCTATTCATTATTACTGGGATCTAAACGAGTCTCCTCACTCCAGCACGGCTACTATCATCTGCTATGAAAATACATTTGATTGCATTGGGAATCAGGGGGGATTGTGGGAGAAACGGGTATTTTCAGCACGGCTACTGTAGGAAACTGGGTCACGAACATGATGAAGACTACTAGAGGAAAACTGAGAATCTCATCAGGAAATATGAGCACAAGTAACACAAGTTCTCAAAGATCAATATGGAGAAGCTCAGATCAGCACACATGAGCTCCTACTGAGAGTTTGTGTTGTGTTTCAGTCCAAATATCTAAAAATTCAGAAATTAAGAAGCATTTTCTATAGACAAGAATAAAATATAGTGTTGTTTTCACAAATAATGAGACAGAAATAAGTGAGAAAACAAGCTAAACAATCTGCCAATGGAGGAAGAGAAATAAACGAAGATCATTTTGCCCTCGTTGTCAGATTATGTCGCTTGTTTCACTTCACTTTGACTCATTATTTCTGAAAATAAAACAATACTCTTTACGTGTCTGGAAAATGCTTCTTGATTTAAGAATATTTAGACCCCAAACAAGACAAAAACTCAAAGTAGGAAAGCATTTCTTTGCAGTGAAGTGCTATCATGTGTTAATATTGTGTCCTACGTGAGACCTGGACCCCCAGGCATGGATGGAGAACGGGTTCTGCCCTCCTGTGAGCTTATACTGTGTTAAATGAGCATGAGTTTCTCTCAACAAACACACATCATGGACAATCTGAAGGTAAAAACTGTCTTGAGGTCAATGAGGTCAGTTCATGGTCATGCACAAAGACACACACACACACATAGACATAGACATATATAACGAATGCGTCTTACCTCTCCTTTAGCTGGAGAAAAGCAGTGAAAGAATCGTCCTATCAACTAGATCATCAGTAAGAAGAGAAGAAGAGAAGCACTGCAAATAATGCTTTTCTGACTAACTTTTGTCTCTTGTTTCTAGTCCAAACATCTCAAAATGATTAAATCAAACAAGCATTTTCTAGACAGGCAAAACATTTAGTCTTGCTTAAAGACAACGAGCCAAAAATAACTGGAGTTTTTTCTTCTTAAAGCAAGATAGTAAACAAAATAACCTGACAATGGAGGAAGAGAAACAAAGTCATGTCAAAAGGGAAAAGGAGTGTATTTCTCTTCCCCCATTGTCAGATTATTAAGCTTTTTTTAAAGGTAAACTCACATTATTTTGACTAATTCTTTCTGAAAACAAGACTGCAGTAGTCAACATCTGAAGTGGATCAAACTGTTCTAAGTCAAGACTGGGTGCTGTAGATTAGTTTTAGGACAACTCTGATGAAAGGCTTAGATCCACTTCAAATGTTGACTACTGTACATTTATATATATATATTATTTATTCTTGTCTAGAAAATGCTTCATGATTTAAGAGTTTTTAGATGTTTGGACTAGAAATAAGACAGAACATCTAAGTAAGGAAAGCATGTTTTGCAATGAGAGAGGCTGATCTAATGTCATGCTTCAGCTGTCTAAATATACATATATATCAGCCTTAATGTGAAATTTTAATTGTTTTTCAAATATTTCTGACTTAAGGGCTGTTTAACAGAGCAGGAACATTTTTCATACTATTTCATATTATATTTTATTTTCTGGAGAAAGTCTTATTTCTTTTACTTTGGGTGGATGAATTACTTTATTAAATAAATGTAAAAAAAAAACTGCTGTGGTCAATATTATTAGCCCCCTTTAAAAAATAAAAAATAAAATAAAGTAAAAATCTATATACAGTTGAAGTCAGAATTATTCGCCCCTCTTTTAATTTATTTTTCTTTTTTAAATATTTCCCAAATGATGTTGAACAGATTGAGGAAATGTTCACAGTGTGTCTGATAATGTTTGTTCTTCTGGAGAAAGTCTGATTTGTTTTATTTCGCCTAGAATAAAAGCAGTTTTTAATTTTTTAAACACCATTTTAGGGTCAATATTATTAGCCCTTTTAAGCTAGATTTGTTTTCGACAGTCTACAGAACAAATCATCATTATACAATAACTTGCCTAATTACCCTAACCTGCCTAGTTACCCTAATTACCCTAGTGAAGCCTTTAAATGTCACTTTAAGCTGTATAGAAGTGTCTTAAAGAATATCTAGTCTAATATTATTTACTGTCATCATGACAGAGGAAATAAATCAGTTATTAGAGATGAGTTATTAACACTGTTATGTGCAGAAATGTGTTGCAGAAATCTGCTCTCTGATACACAGAAACTGGGGGAAAAAATAAACAGGGGGTGAATAATTCTGACTTCACCTGTATATATATATATATATATTAGTGCTGGATAGTCTCCAGAACAAAGCACTGTTATACAATGACTTGCCTAATTACTCCAATCAACCTAGTGAAGCCTTTAAATGTCACTTTAAGCTGAACACTAGTGTGG